GCTCGATCCCAGGACCCTGGGACCATGACCTGAGCTGAAGGCAGACGCGTAACGATTGAGCCACCCAGGTGCCCCAAGTCGCTATAATATTTTAAAAGCACTCTGAGATCAGAGGTGGTTTTGATTGGTCTTTGTATTCTCAGTGCACAACAGTGAGCAGATATCCACCAAGTGTTGATTTAACAAAAATTAAAAATGACTGTATTAGTATCACCCCAAATCCAAAAGATAATGGATTAATAATTTTGGTATATTTCTTTACAGACTTAAAATGTTTTTCTTTTCCCTGACATAACTAACCATTTCATATGTACAATTTTGTATAAAACTTTCTTTCTCAGTTTCTTTGAAACACTTACCTATTAGACTGGCCATAGAGTACTTTAAGAAGTGCCCAGACCACAATTTACTTGGGAAATCTTTGCTCTGACACAGGCCATTTCTTACATCTCTTTGACTCATTAACGGTAACTTACAATGAGTGGACATGAGTGGTCAATGTCAAAGACAGCTGTCTTAAGCCTTCTGTCTTCTTTAAATAGAGTTAGATAAAAACATATAGATGCTCTCAATTGAGGGCAGTGTTCCTATCAGGCAGATACAAGATGACAGAACACTACACTGCACCTGAGCCTTAACTCAGCAGAGTTAACTCCATTTGTAAGTCTTTTTCCTCTAAAAATTTCCTGCAAAATTTAACCTGGTAAAATTCAAGTTATGATGATCCTCTTCCAGCCCTAAAACTGTAAAAACACTCTGAAATACCGAATTCAGTTCTACAACATATACAAATCTTTACATGAATTATAAAAAGCATACAGTTCCAAAACCCTTTATATAGCTGCAGTTCCAAAATCTAAAAAGGTATGAAAACCAACTGTTTTTCTCATGAGCTTCAGAGAAATTTATTTGGTGGAAAAACTTGTCCTAAACTGACATGAGGCTATCTATAGATGGTGTTATATAACATATGGCATATGTATATATATATATATGTATATATACATATACTATATATACACTATATATTTCATCATGCTTTTAAAGCTTTTTAAAAAAAATTCCCAGATACATCTGTCACAAAACATAAAGAACTGCTGATATTTCCCAAAGAATAATTATTAGAGCAAATGGCAAACAAATTAATCTGAAGCCAAGTGCTAACTCTACAAAACATTACTATTATTTTAAGTTTATTTATTTTTTTTGGTAACCTCTACACCCAATGTGGGGCTCAAACTCACAATCCCGAGATCAAGAGTTATTCCGAGCCAGCCAGGCACCCTTGCAAAGTACTATTTTGACAGCAATGTTTTCTTACCTATAGTCTGAGTAGGTTTAACTGAACCAGGCTTGTTTTCTTGATGAAGACTCTCTGAATTTCTAGTGGCAAGAGGCTTGGCAATAGGAGCTGTAGATTTGTCACTGGTTTCTCCTGTCCAACGAAGAGTGAACTGCAACGTAGGTCCCTGAGAAAATGTTTCAAATGGAGGCAGCCTCTAAAAAAGAAAACATATGAAAAGAGTGAAGGTTCCACATAATGAATTGAAAGAAATCACAGGAACAAAAAAAACCTCCTGATACCTATTATGATAAATTAATGTGGATTTGAAAACCTAAAATGCCGACAGAGATGGCCAGGCAAGTAAAGCACATATATGGCGCAGTACAGACTGAAGTACCAGAGGGCTCAGGTTGCCTGAAGAGGCAGCCACTTAACAGCAATGGATGAATTGTTGCCATGTGCAAACAGAGCCCCAGCACAGCCAGATTTTCAGATTTTTTCAAAAGAAGTCAGAAATCCAAGTTCTCATGGGAAATCTTCCTATTCTTACATGTTGGTAGTCAATGAAAAATGGTTTTAAAAACAGAAAAACTGGTAACCAAAGCTTGCCGGTTTGCCACCTGTTAGATGACCAACTACTTTCTTTTTGTAAACTGAACGCTTACAGAGATTAGTAATTTTCCCTGACTTCTTCAGCTTCAACGACAGCTGCCCTTGTTTCTCCTGTTTGGGTTTTGGGACTCTGAACTCTCTTGGCTTTCCTCCTCAACCTCTAATCACTTATAAGATGACTCTTCTCCTGGTCTCCTTAATTCCTAGCTAATATTTAGCCATTTGCCCTAATCTCTCACCTGTCCTTAAGGATTTACTTAAGGCTGATGATCCCAAATTGATTCTCCATTCTTTATACTGGAGGTCCAAAACTGTATATCTCAACTGCCTCTTGGACATTGCCATTTGGATGACATCAATGTCACCTTGAACTAAAAATATATTTAGACATGATTCTATTTTCTTTCCTTCCCAGGTATAATTAGTTTTGTTCCTAGCATTATCATTCTACCAGGAACCCTAACCTAAAAACTTCAGAATTACATTTGACTCCTATTTTTCTTTTGTTTCTCTTACATAATCACCAAGTATAGATCCTTACTACCTTATTACTACAGTATCTCAGCTGCTCTCCTCCTTCTAATTTTTACTTCTCAATTCATAGATAGAAGACCAAATAATCTTCTGAAAGACTGCTTTCATGTCTTCCATAGAAACGTGTTTAATGGGACACCTGGGTGGCTCAATCAGTTAAGCAGCTGCCTTTGGCTCAGGTCATGATCCCAGGGTCCTGGAATGGAGCCCTACATCGGGCTCCCTATTCAGCGGGGAGTCTGCTTCTCCCTCTCCCTCTGCCCATTCCCTCTCTCAAATAAATAAATAAAATCTTAAAAAAAAAAAGAAAAGAAACCTGTTTCTTTTACTGCCATACAAGCCTAAACTCCTACATCTTTATTACAAATAATCCTCTTAAAACTATTAATTTTGGACAGGAATGAAGTAAAAGTGTGCTTTCATAAACCAGTTTTGAAAAAGTAAGTCTCCCCATATCTAGGTATTTATCTCATAAAAATATTTGCAATGCATAAAGATATATGTACTAGTATATTCACATTTGTGAAAAGGTAAAAAAAAATTAATATAATTGAATTATCCATTAAAATAGCATTGGTTTAGTAAATTATGAGACATTTATTTAAAAGAATACCACAAAGCTTTTAAAAAGAACCAAATCTAAATGCTCTGACTTTAAAGGGATGCCCTATTGTTTCAATTTCTTGGGAAAAACCAACAACTCATGTAATTCTTATTTTCTTGTGAATAAAAATTTAAACTTTAAAAGAAATTTAAAACATAATGAACAACTGCATGAAATTCAAACACTATAGATAAGCATAAAAAATAAAAATTTAAAATCCCATCACCTAGAGGTAACCACCATTAATTTTAGAAAAAGTAGGAATATGTATATTATTAAGTAAAAACGAAATACCATGGAAATCTTCTTGTCAAAGTATTGTTCTTTTTAAACTATCTTTTTAGATTTAAGGTATTTCCAACTTCTCACTACTTAAAAATTTTTGACAGCATCTGTCAAAATAAAATAACTAATGAAAGTGAATCATTTCTCCACTGTAAAAATCTACATCTTTTCAGTTAACCAGTTACTATACCTTGTGACAAAATTGAGGAACTGGGCTTAATTGTTAATGCCTATAAACACAATTTAAAATGTCATCCATATTGCCAGTCTGCCCTCCAGTAAGGCTGTCCCCAGTTATTCTCACATTGAAGCATTATGTGAGAATACATGTCCTCACATCCCAAACTAGACACTGTCAATCTTTTTGTCAAATTAGTGAAGTATTATCTCTGATTTTGTTTACACGTCTTTGAATACTAAGAAGGTTGAATCTTTTTAAAAGCTTGCTAGCTAGTCATCTATACTTGCCGTAAGAATCGCCTGATTGTCCTTTAACCATTTTTCTAATTAGATTGCTTATTTTTCTTATTGATTTATAAAATTACACATTCATATTAGCTTTTTGTATGTTACTTTTTCCCTGGCCTATCACTTGTTTTTAACTTTGGATTTTTAGTGGAGAAATGATTCACTTTCATTAGTTATTTTATGCTTTCTAACTTTTGCATCATACTTGTAAGAGCTTTCTTCATATTAAGATTATATTAATATTCATCTCCATTTTTTTCTGAAGTTATGTAATGTTAATTTTTACATTTCATTTGTGAGTCTTCCGGAATTTATGAGGTCTAAGTTTATTTTCAGATGGCTAGAGACCAGTTCTGTCACAATGAATGAATGATCTTTTCCACACAGATCTAATACCAATTTTATCACAGGCTGAAGTCCAAATGCACATGGAACTATTTTAAAACAATGCTTCAGTGATCCACTCATCTATTCCTATGTTTATTATACCATACAATTTAAGGTTTTTTGGTTTTTTGTTTTTTTTTACCTTTATAGTATGTTCTACTATCCGTTAAGTAAATGTTCTTGGAAAACTTCCACAATATTCCTTACTATTATTACATATTGTCCTAGGTTAACTTGAGACTAATTTTAAGGCTTAAAAAAAATCCTAGGATTTTGTTTGTGATGGCACACTGACATAACATATTTGGAAATAAATGACTGATTTATTCCGTTGCGTCTGCCTACCCAAGAAATATATTTATTCTTTTAAGTCTCAGAAAAGTTACTTTAAGTATGATTTATCTAAGTTCTGCAGATTTCTTGACAAATGCATTATTGGTCATCATATGTTGCCTGCTGTTACTATGAGCAGGATTTACAACAGTTTGTTGTTGCTGTTGTTTTTAATTCAAGTTAGCTAACACATAGTGTAGTACTGGTTGCAGGTATAATAGTAGTTAACATTTATTGAGCACTTATTTTATGCCAGGCACGATGCTAAGCATATTTATTTCATTTAATCCATCAATTCTATGCCTCGTTTTCTAGATGAGAAAACTGACACACAAAAGCTTAAATAACTTGCCAGAATGCCACACAGCTAGGTGTGGAGATTTGAACCTAGTACTCTGGCTCCAAGGACAGTGCTTTCCATTGAATACTTTGACTAGGTAATCTTTATTTGTATATTTCAAAGTATAAACACAAAGGACCCTACTTCCAACATGAATTTGCATCTGGGAAAGAAAACATCAATCAAAAATGGGAGTTCATGACTATAATGTGCTCCACCTTCTAAGCAGTCCATACCTTCCCATCAAGAATAGTCTCCCATGTTGCTCTTTTCTTGCTTATTGGACATTCTTCCATTTCCTGCATGGCTACTTCATATTCCCCATCTAAAAGCTGTAAGCGCCTGTTAGACAAACACATACACTTTAAAGTAACCTGTGTATTATTTAAGTACACAAATTCTACATCTTCAGATTTATACTAAAGAGCATTTATTAAATTTATAAACTAGCTTACATACCCAATGAAATTTTGAAATATACCTACTCTCCATTCCTGACAAAAGCAATTTTAATTTGCACTAATAACTATTACTACTAGAGAATTATTTCATTACTGTGGCTAGTCAGATACAACTTATTACACTAACATATAATATATGCCTAAATTCTCAAATCTTGGTAAATTTTAAACATTAAGTATAAAGCACAAGTGTAGGCTTTATACTTTAAGAAAATGGGATAACAACAGTGTTACAATACTTGCGTTAGGTAACCACTAAGAATTATGCCTCTGTCATTTCTGACTATTGAAAAAATTTGAACTAGAATTCTTGAATTTCATTCATGACCAGTAAACTTGATGATTATGACTCTAGTAACTATAAGATCCTGGGGGCACCTGGCACATATAGGTGCTCAATAAACATTTCATGGATGAATAAATGAATGAAATACCAGTTGAATCAAAGAATTATGCCCAACTCACAGTATAGTTTTAACGTATGTGTGCATATACGTGTGTGTACATACAGTTTGTATTATTTTTTTTCATACCTTTTAACACTGGTAACACTACCCTAAACACCATTCTTCAACCATGCTCAATGATTAATTGTATGTCACAAGAATCTGGTTTCTCTTCATCAGTCTTGGAATAGTTCTGTTAGGACAGCTAACATTTATTGAGTGCTTACTATGTGCCAGGCATTATTTGGAAGACTTTACATGTTTCACTTAATTTTCCCAACTCTATGAAGTAGATTACTCCACTCTTCAGAAGAAGAAACTGATGCAAAAAGATTAAGTAGCTTGACTTAAGGTGACAAAGTAGGCAGCGCTAGCAACTGAATCTGGGTAGCCTATCTCTAAGTCTGATCTTAATACCAAATGATTTTGAGACTTAAGAATTTTTGTCTTTATGCTGTGCGCCTTGAATTTATTCTACTTCAACAGTGTAGTAGTAAAGCTATTCAACTTAACATTTTAAAAAGCTATTTTTATGTATTTGTATAGGTAATAATACATTCATATACTTCTAAACTGAAACGAAGCTTCCCTCATGCATTTACATGGCTACATAATATTCTATTTTATAGTTGTACATTTGATAGCTACAATCCAATTTACTCTCCTACCTGTAATGCATGAGGAGGCCCTTTTTTTTCCCACAGCCTCATCAACAGTGCTTTATCAGTTTTTTGATCTCTGCCAAACTGGTAAGTGAAAAAATGACATCTCAGTGTACTTTTATATTCAGATGTCTTATCTTTTAAATGTTTAAGAACCACATATATTTTCCTTTTTTGTAAACATTTTTATTTTATCTCTAGCTCATTCTTCTACTGGGCTGTGGTATTTTAATGAGTATGATCTTATTACATTAAAGAAATGAGACATCAATCTACAGTAGGAGTTGAAGTTAATTCTCCCTTGTCATCCTTGTCATTTTATTTTTGACATAGTTTAAGAGGACTTCTTTGTTTTCAGAATAAGTTTTTAATTTTGCTTAATATTTCATACTTTATATGGTTTTTGAATTGTGGTAATTCTTTAAGGAGACCTTAACTTCTTTGAGATTATAAAAAGAACTTTTTACATTACACATCTAACTCCTCAGATCTTGGCTTGCAAATACTTTTCCTCCATTAAAAGGAATCAAGACTAGGAGCGCCTGACTGGCTCAGTCAGAAGAACCTGTAACTCTTGATCCTGGGGTTGTGAGTTCAAGCCCCATGCTGGGTACAGACATTACTTTAAAAAATAAAAAATATTTTTTTGGGCTCCAGTGTGGAGCCCACTTAAAAAAAAAAAAAAAAAAAGGCAAGGGGGTGGGGGACACCTGGGTGGCTCAGTCAGTTAAGCATCTGACTCTTGGTTTTGGCTCAGGTCATGATCTCAGGGTCATGAAATCAAGCCCAACCCCCATGTCGGGCTCTGCACTAAGCAAAGCCTGCTTGAGATCCTCTCCCTCCCCCTCTGACACTCCCCTCGTTCACACTAGTGCATGCTTGCTCTCTCTCAAATAAATAAAATCTTTAAAAGGAAAAAAAAGGGAATCAAGACTGAAGAAATGGCCAATTCCAGAGCAGAAGTAGGAGAGGGAGAATGTAAGCCTGGGCTATCTTACTATTCAGAAAATAAGGAAAAACAACAAAAAATTAAGTAAAAAAGACATATAGGACCCTGTTTAGAGGGGCTCCTCCTGACTAAATTTGGGACAACCTGAGCATTAAAATGAATAACAACATGAGTAGATTAAAGCAGAATGAATAAAAATGGAATTTGTTACTGATTAAGAAGAAATACTGATTAAAAAATTGATAAAAATAAGTTGAGAGGAATGCTCTTCTATTTTATAGGAAAAAATGCCTATAAACATGGAAGAAATGACAGAATGTTAACATTTTGGCAGCTGCCATAGGAATAATTTTTTCAAGCAAGAATCACTGATGGATGCTAAACTTTTGGGTGGAAGGTTTTGGGGCAGAAAATGCACATTTACCCAGTTGAAACTGAGATTACCATAGAAATTATGTATTAATTAATTAAAGGGAAAAGATACCATTACAATGGAGAAATACTGTGACCACCACCATAACCAAGTGATCAAACCTAATTTTACCTGCATCTGTGATGTACACAAAGAACACATTACTTACTGTTCAGGGTATCCTGCCCAAAATGTTTAACCTGAATCTAATCATAAACTGAGAGACATTTTGCAGAACTACAGGCCTGTACTTTAATTTTTTAAAATTTTATTATGTTATGTTAATCACCATACATCATTTAGTTTTTGATGTAGTGTTCCATGATTGTCTGCATATAACACCCAGTGCTCCATTCAATACATGCCCTCTTTAATACCCATCACCAGGCACCCATCCCCCCACCCCCCCAGGCCTGTACTTTAAAAAAGTGTCACAAATAACAACGAAAAGAGAAAGACAGACTCATAAATACAGAAAACAAACTAGTGGTTGCCAGAGGGGAGGAGTGTGGGGGAAAAGCAAAATAGGTGAAGGGGATTAGGAGGTAAAAACTTCCAGTTATAAAATAAGTAAGTCACAGGGATGAGAAGTATGAGATACAGAATACAGTCAATCATACTGTAATAACTTTCTATGGTGACTACACTTATCGTGGTGAGCACCACAAAATGTATGCAATTGTTGGAATCACTATGTTGTACACCTGAAAGGAATATCATGTAAAAAAAGGCAATATTCGAATTATAATTAACAATAAAAAGTTTCACAAAAGGCAAAAACAAAAGAGAAAACAAAGGGTTGGAGAACTATCCCAACTGGAAGGAGACTGAATAGATACGGCAACTTGCTACAGATCACAACCCGTGGGGTGGGGGTGGAGATGGGACAGCTACGAGGGGCATTATTGTGGTCAACTGGGGATAGTATTTGTTGTGTTATGTTAAAGTTCCTGAGTATGACAAGTGTATTGGTTACACCAGTGGTTATGAAGGAAACTGTCCTTGTTTTTAGGAGATACATACTGAAATGTTCAGGAGTGAGGAATGAAGTAGTATGTCACATTCTAACTTTAAAATGGTTAAGCACAAGATTAAATACACACTCACAAAGCAAATGTGGTAAAATGTTAATGACTGATGAATCTAGGTAAAGGGTATGTGGGTATTAATGATCTATCTATATTGTTCAACTTTTTTATAGTTTAGAAATTTTCAAAATTATCGGGGGGAAATTCTCCCATGGTTTCTACTTGGTACTTTTAGTCATTAAATAGAAAGCAGCATTTCATACATACAAGGAATATGTTAATACATGTGTAAGGCAGAAAGAATTTTAAAAAGCACACAATACCCACCCCCATGCTGCCTAAAACAGAATACTGACCAACATCAATGAAGTCCACTGTCTCACATCCCAGTTGCTTCTCCCATAAACTTTAACTATGATCTCCTAAAACATGTTTCTATTGTTTCCCATTTAAATCTCTAACCTACAAATTTCTGACTTTAAGAAGACACTATAATGGTTTAATATAAAGTGATATAGTCTAATAGTAATATTAAGTGATTTATTCTAACACAATACAGCAATACAGTAGCCAACATTTATGGCATTATCCTAACCATCTTTGCTTTCCTATTAAAAGACTTGTAACTTTCCTCACCTGGTGGCTAATAAGCGACAGTACTTTTTAAAGAGTAGGAGGAATGTACTAATTGCTTTACTTGCCTCTTTCCCCATGCCTAACTAACAGTGAACTGTGTTAACTACCAGCAAGCAGACAAAAACAAGAACTCATGGCACATTACAGGTTCCATTCCCCAATCCTGTCAAAAAAGAATACTGCCTTTGCCTCCTAGATATTCTTTTACTGGCACTAAGATGCTTCACTCCCCAAAAACTGGAGATGGTGACAAATCCAGGTGTTCTTTGCTACCCTGTGCCAAATACACAGAGCCACACGATGACAACACACAGATTTCTTCCTCAATTTGATAATACATAACCTCAAGATTTGCACATGGCCCATTTCATTCAGGTCTCTTTCAAGTATTACCTTCTCCTAGACCTTTCTCTATAAAACAACCATTTATTCTCTCTATTTTTCTTCACAGCACTCACCAATAGTGAGTTACTGTAATTTCTGGGTGGTGGTGTCTGTTTCTTCCACTAGAAGTTAAGTCCCACGAAGGCAGGGATTTTGTTGCCTTTTCACTGCCTAGAACAGTGTCTGACAAAGAGTAGACACTCAGAAGTGACATGCCTAATAAACAATCTTAACTGAGCCATTCAAATAGCAACTCATCTATGTTTATTGCTTTCTATGTGACAAAGAGAAAAATTCAGTATTTACAAACTTGTTTTATCATTTATAAGAATAAAGAGAAACAAAGGCAAAGAAATATCACCACTATATTATTCTTCAGAATAAAAACATTTCTAGAACATTAAGGGAACCTCACTTGTCCATCAACATTACCTGTTTTTATCAAATACGGTCATTTGTGCAACAAATGTCTTTTCCCCATCTTCACGATTTCGTTTTCTTCTAGCTGGAAGTTCTTCATTGACATCTGAATTTCACAAACATTTCTTATAAGTCAAATATTCAAACACAAAGGTCTTTTTTTTTATATGATCCCTTATCCCAAATTAGGTACAAATTACAATTAATTTGTGATATAACGTCCAGACTTACACTTTTCAATTTTATGTTTTACCGTATGCGTATGTCCTTACTAGGCAAGGAGAAAAAAATCCTCACTTATGGTTACTTTTCAACTCCAAAGGCTACTTCAAGACTCAAAGATTATTTCCCCAACGGTGCCTCTCCACTGAACTTCACATATACCTCTATTATACCATTCAACATCATTTTGCTACAATTATTTATATCTATATCTGCACTCTAGGTCAGCTTTTGTGAGTTTCTGGAGGATAGGACTGAATGTTTTAATGATCTTGGTATTTCCAGCACTTGTATGTTGGTTGAATGATTACCTCAAATGTGGATTCAGAACTGTTGGGAAGACAGAAGGATAGATATGTGATAAGCAAATATAATAAAATCTTAGTTATAGAATCTAAGTGCTGGGTAGACAATGTTCACTATATAAAACTCTTTGGACAGTCACATATGTATGAAATTTTTCACAATAAAATGTGGGGGGGGGGGAGGGATGAATTCATTGTTTTGTTTGCTGAGAGACTAATTTGAAATACCAGTCTTCTCCATCCAGTGTTCAATATACTTTTTTTACTACATGAAATATGTTTCATCATGTAAAAATGAGAACTTTACAGATTAAATACCTAGTACAGCACAACAGCCAACCGTTTAAGCTCTAGGGTAATCTACCATAAAATTAATTATCTCATCAGACTGTAAAATATCTGCAAATAGAGGTCATTTCATGCCTTTAGAATGCATGCAATTTACTTCTAGTTCTGCACCATTTTCTTCCTTGGAAAAGCAAAGTTTAAAATAAAACTATTAAAATAAAAATTACCAATATTTTCATTGGTTTCTCCATTAATCATTCCATTAAACTCTCTTCTTCCTGGACGAGTCACTCTAAATAGCAATGAGTAAGACTTCACCATATGGCTGTTACTAGGTTCAAATTCATTACTGGAAACTGCAAGGGACGGGAAATTTCCAGGTTTTGTTTGATTGAGATCAGGATTCAAAGGCACCTGCTTTTTACCTGTAGGAACTTGCCTTATTGGACAACTTACATCCTGCAAAGGCAAAATTATGAAATTATACTTATTTATGCATGTGCAATTATTGTAAGAATTATAATAAAACTTATAATCACAGATATAGGAAACATCATTACCAAATGGCATGCTAAAATTCTAACCATACTTCTGAAAATTGTGATGAAGCAAAAAGAAAATTTGGAACAGCTATATCCCAAATACTAACTATTGAGGATTTCTTCAATATAATGAAAATGATACAGTATATCCAATATTTAGCTGATGGTCATCTAAAATAGTTTTAAATTAGAAATATGGATAAAAAATAAATTGGAAATATGGAATTAAAACCAAGCTTAAAATGTTAAGCTCATATAAATTAGTAATCTTTTCCCTTAAATTTTCTATTTTATTTTTTTTATAGATTTTTTTTTAAAGATTTTATTTATTTATTCATGAGAGACAGAGAGAGAGGCGCAGAGGGAGAAGCAGGCTCCCAAGGAGCAGGGAGCCCGATGCGGGACTCGATCCCAGGACCCTGGGATCATGACCTGAGCCGAAGGCAGACGCTTAACCATCTGAGCCACCCAGGCACCCCTATTTTATTTTTTTAAAGATTTTATTTATTTGTTTGACAGAGAGAGAGAGAAAGTAAGAGAGGGAACACAAGCAGGGGGAGTGGGAAAGGGAGAAGCAGGCTTCCTGCTGAGCAGGGAGCCTGATGCGGGGCTCGATCCCAGGACGGATCATGACCTGAGCCGAAGGCAGACGCTTAACGGACTGAGCCACTCAGGCGCCCCTTAAATTTTCTATTTTAACAAAATAATTGATAGGACCATTAGAAATGAAAAAAGATGATTATAAAAACACCACTGTCAACGTTATGAAATAGTAAATCCATGTATTTAAATGTTGCTTAATAGAAGCAATATTGTTCATCTTATGAATAATATTTTGTAATTATATAACTGGAATTATGCTTAGTTGAAAAACTGGAAGATGTGGAAGACCTTTATAACAAGATAGTGGCTTCTTTTTGAAAACAGAATACATTCTTAATATATTAAAAAAAAATTCCACTCTACAAAAAAGTATAAAATGAGAAATATGTAAGTTACCCCCACCTCCCCCAGGTCCTAGAACTCCAGAGATGACTAGTATTAGCAGTTGGTTATGTATATCCTTCTTTTTTTTTTTTTTTAAAGATTTTATTTATTTGACAGAGACACAGTAAGAGAGGGAACACAAACAGGGGGAGTGGGAGAGGGAGAAGCAGGCTTTCTGTTGAGTGGGGAAGCCCGATGCGGGGCTCGATCCGAGGACCCTGGGATCATGACCTGAGCCGAAGGCAGATGCTTAATGACTGAGCCACCCAGGCGCCCCTATGTATATCCTTCTAAACAAATGTTTACACCTATTATTTTTTTGAAACACAAAAAGGACACTATAATTATATTCACATTTTTTTTTGCCTGAATTTTCAAGAATGTTCACATCATTGCTTATCATGCATATGGAGATTGCATGGGAGTGGGGAATGATATTTCTTAAGTTAAAGTTTTGAATATATACTTACACTGTTGTCTCCTATCACCTTAGTCCACTCCATACCAGTGCTTTAGTAGTGCTCAAGCCCTGTGTCACCATACTATGATTTTGGAAGAACATCAACAATAGGAACCTCTATATAGGTCATTCCTAATCTTAAAATACCCAAGATCTTAAAGCTACTAAACGTGTATCTGTTGGCTTTAGTGGGTTGCCGAGAAAATTTAACTATCATAACATGTTTCTGTGGGGAAAAGATGTGACCTTATAAATAAAAACTTGAGGCAATGTATTAATAGGTCAATGGCTAATAACACTGGCAACAGAATTTCTTTGCCCGAGAGTAGTGTTACAAGAGGTAATCCTTTTGGGAAAAACTCTTGCAGCCGTTATTTAAATTTTAATTGGTACAAATTGCTAAAAAGCTGAGAGATCGAAGTGGTAGGGAAGCATCTGAATTTATGTCCTAAGGTGCTAAAAGATAGCTTCTTCCCTTCAACGTAAAACTCCTATAGCAGAAAGTTTTATGCAGATACCTCAGCCAGCCCAGAAAAAACATGAAGATCTGGACAGTTGGCAAAAAAGGTTATCAGTTTTTTAATTCAGCCATCACCATATTTAAAAGCTTTCAAGGTTTGGGGTACCTCAGTGGCACAGTCGGTTGGGCGTCCAACTTGGTTTCAGCTCGGATTGTGATCTTGGGGCTGTGGGATTGAGCCCTTCCTTGGGCTCTGTGCTTGTTGCAGAGTCAGCTTGGGACTCTCCTGCACCCTCTCCCTCTGCCCCTCCCCCCCACATGCTCTCTCTCTCTCTCAAAAAAAAAAAAGAAAGAAAAAGCTTTCAAGGTTTAAAAGCACAATATATATGCATGAACATACTCAATTAAAAAATTATTCCTCAATCTACCAATATTGTGTTATATGTTACCTTTCTTTTTTTGTGGCAAACCTTCACAAGCAGGACTTCCAAGGTAACAGAATTTTGTTCATTTTCTGAGTTTTGTGATGGCTTATCTAAATAGAAAATCAAAACTTTAAAAATGTTTTTGTTTAAAAATATAAGTATTGTACTCATTTTCCTAAGAAGTCTGGGAATTTCCAAAAAAAAGACTTCCTATAATAAAGACTTCTCATAAGTTTACTCATTTTTTCCCCCAAAACCAGTTCCAATTTGCAACAAACTCTTTAAAAGCCTTTATATATAGTCATTTAAATAAACCTTTCACAATACAATTATAATTACCTTCCTACAATACTGTGATTTCCTTTTGATTCAAATAAGATGTTCAATTATTTTAATTAATACTAAAAACATTTACTGATTATATGGCTATAAAGATTTAACATTTATGATAATAAGAATATAATAAACTACTAGTCGAAAAGTATTTTTGACAAATACAGTTAAAGCTTCTTGGCAGAAAACACAAATGAGACAGTCAAGACAGACAGCCACACACAAAATAAACATTTAAAATTTTTTTCCTTCTCCCAAAATCTATTATTAGAAAAATTACTTAGTTTAAGATACATTTAAATTGAACTAGTTACTATTATATATTTTTTATTTTGAATGCACAGCAATATCAAACCAAAAAGTTCTTTGACTAGGACTTGTGATCAAAGGAATTAAAATAATGGATTTCATATGTAAAAGTTATATAAACAACTATATTATCATTTCAAAAGAAAGATAGTTTTTTACCTTTTCCCTAGAATTTCTCTAAAGCCTGAACAGGATAGCTAAATTTAGGATATTATTTACTACCTAGGGGAATCTCTCTTGGTTTACAAAGTTTAGGGATTTTAATTTTAAATAATATTATGTCTATATTCTCTGTTATCAATTAACTGACAAAGGCTTTTACAAATTAAGGTTCTAAAGTACTTCTCTATAACTTGTCTTTAATCCCAGAGGCATTATTAATAGTTCAAACTATTTAATCAATCATCACTAGGTTTCAATAATATACAGAACTACTATAACAGCTGAATCTATAAACATAAACAAAAATAATTTTCCTTCTGAGATTTTGGACAACACTTTTTTCTACTTAAAAACATTCTTCTTATATAGGGTGTAAGCATAAAATACAATCAGTCTCTTTGAAAGTTGTATTCAGGCAGGAAAAAAAAAATTCAGTGTTTAAAATGCAGTAACAAAAATGCTCTCCAAACCATACTCACCATGAAAATAGTACCCTAATAATCTTTGTGTATTCATTCTAAGCAGTTTCAAATAGTAATATATAAACAAAAGTCTTCATTTAAAAACAAAAGGAAAAATAATCAGATTTTAGGGATCTTGATATTGGTTTTCTATCTTGATTTCTTAAAAATATTATTTCTTAAAAAAAAAAAACTACAAATATACCTTGATTAGACAAGAGAGGCAATATAGCTGCTTCTTCCCAACTTCCACTAATTTTCAAAGTTATAATGGGAAATTATTTTCTGGAAACAGAAGTACCAACAGAGTTTACTTTCTCATTTACCTCTAACATCAGAAAAAATAAAAACTTCAAGTGAATTTGAGCAATTTTGAACTCTATGTATTTTGTCATGTAGACAGGAAAAAAGTTTAATCAGACTACTCTCCAATTAATTTCAACTAATTCAAGTAAAATTAATTCAACTTAAGTATTAATCAAGTGACAATATTAATTAGTAAATATTCAATTAACATCCATCATCAATTTCAGTTATGGATAACTTACATATGTTTTACGTACGTCCCTGGGAACAAAGGGCTAATGAACCTATAAAATTCAAACCATAAACTTTAAAGTATTAGAGTCCATGTACTTTAAAAGTACGACAGAAAACCAAGTATAAAGAATGATTAGAAATAAGGACTCTATAAGATGATTATAAGTAATTTAGGAAAAAACATAAAAATGCTCCTCAGTTTACTTCTATATAAAAATGGACCAGATCTAAGGCAAAACCAGAAGTTACATTAGCTAACAGAGATATGACCAGATTTCAAATTCTTACATAAAAAACTTGACTAGTTATCAAACTGTTCTAATATAACCATATTATTATTAAACTTTATTTCTTACTAAACAATACCAAGGATGATCACCTTGACATGTTTCTTAAAAAGATTTCATTCCATTACACGATAATAAAGATGGATTAAGTCAAGCAGCATTTTATCCATTTTGAAACCAACTGAAACTTTACCTAGCATGCTTTTACCTCTTTTAATGAAGTAACAATTAAGACTATATACTTTTCTTTGTAAAATATCTAACATATTGATATATCCCACTGGTAGCAGTAGTTGTTTCTATTTTATTATTACTGTATTAAAAAAAAATATGATGCAATACCATCAACTAAAAATGCTCATGCAGAAAGGATTCTACTCAGGGGACTCTTCACCTATTTCAGGTTCTAAGACCATTTAAAGTCCAAAAAATATTAGAAATAAAAAATGGCAAAATCTAAGAAATTTAATTGTATTGAAAAGATTTTCCCATTATTTTCTAGTTATAACCTCTGGAAAGATGATGACTCTGAGTAGGGTAAGATAATGTTATATAGCTTTTTTTTTATATCAATAATTAGTGTCCTAAAAAGAATGGTTTATTAGAGATAAGAGTTGGAATTTCATACAGCAAACATTTACCTTCAAGAATGATCACACACAACACTGAATAATTTTAACAATTTCAAAATCTTAAAACTTAAATGGCTAGCAGGAAAGCAATAAGGAAACCAGGCTATGAACAGGATTTTATATATATGGTCCACCTACAAAAGCTTTTAAGCCAGTTTCTTAAAATTTGTTCCTCAAACAACCTATTTCTGAATTATCTTGGTGCTTTATTAAAACGCAGACTCCTAAGCTGTATCGAAACCCTACTAGATCCGAGTCTTTGTCCAGGTAATACATATTTTAAACAAGCTGCCAAAATATTTCTATACACACAAAATTTAAGAACCTCTACTTTTAAAGTTTAAACAGGTATAAACTACATCTCCCACATCCCATCATCAACCACAGAAAGTAGTAACTGAAATTGTTGGAGAAGTCAACTAAAGAGAAACTGAATTATCAGAATCGACATTTTTTCCACCAAGTATAATTTTATAAATTTACACACATACACAAAATAATTTCTTTTTTTACATTTACAAAGGCATTTTATTGTTAGAATGCCAATATATTTAAGTACATACCATTTTTGTGGAAGAAACCAGTAAATGTAAGCTGCAGATGGGCTGACAAGCTAAAAAAAAAACAAAACACAAAAAACTTATCACTTTAATGCTCTATAATAAAAATAGCCCTAAACTTTAAAAAAAAACACTGAAATCAAAGTTACTTCAGCTAATTTATAAATGTTTGATTTTCTTATTCTTAACTTTGTGCAAGCCCATGACTCTACATGTATACACTCTCTATATACATAAAAACAAAACAACCCAATACACAAATACACCAAAGGAGTAAGTCAGAAAAAAACAAGATTACCAAATGAGGGGCAAGATTATTTACTGTTTTAGTACTCTACCTATAAAGTGTGGACACATTTCCCCTCCCACCCCTCAAAAGAAAATTTTGATAAGGATAGCAGAGTTCATGCGAAAGTGTCTATTTTATTTTAAATAAAATAAATTTTAATATTTTAAAGCTATGGAAATTCAATCTCGTAACAAATGATACAGAACCATCACTTTCTTCTTCCATTGGGGTGAAATATACAATTACAGATCTGCTATAGATTTGTAATTTATTGTCTCAACATGTCATTTTCATTTAGTTTTAGAAGCAATGGAAAAGGAAAATAAATTAAACGGATCCTTTTGAAAATTATCCAATAACAAGAGAAAAACTATTAAGATGAGAGAGAATAAACAGAAACATTCATAGGCTTTTGTAGTTCCTTTAAACTGCAAAAGAGAGCAATCAGTTAATTAGAAGCCATTCATAACTTTCTAGAACAGTTTTTGTCGTGTGATACAGACAGACACCAGATTATAAAGGACTAGACAGAACAGATGTTGGGGGAATGGAAGCAACTGATTCCTTACTCAAAAAATGTACTAGTGTAAAAGGCAATAAGGTGACAATCTAGTCATTCTTATAATCAGAGGGAAAGAGTTATATAAAGACATTGAGGCAAGAGAGTTTTAAGGAGCAAGTAATGATTGAAAATAAGAACATATTATAAAGAAGTTAGCTTTGTAACTCTGCCCAGGATTCCTCTCGTTCTTAAAGAGGACAGTGATCCTTCAGAAGATGTGAGGATGCCTCTATCTTCTTACCGAGGTAAGCCATGAAACTGTATGCTAATAAACTACAGGGTGGGGGGTCTCAAAGGCCATTTCCAGAACACTACTAAGAAAAGTATGCTAGGGGGCGCCTGGGTGGCTCAGATAGTTAAGCGTCTGCCTTTGGCTCAGGTCATGATCCCAGGGTCCTGGGATCGAGCCCCGCATCGAGCTCCCTGCTTGGCGGGGAGCCTGCTTCTCCCTCTCCCTCTACTGTTCCCCCTGCTTGTGCTCTCTCACTCTCTGTATCAAATAAATAAATAAAATCTTTAAAAAAAAAGAAAAGTATGCTAGGATATCAGTAAAGGACAAAATGACTACGGAAGAGTAGAAATGGAAGGGTCCAAGCAGAGTTTTGAAAGCATAAATATGAGAGAAAATGAAGAATAACAACTATAACTTAAGTATCAACAAAATAAAAATGGTACACAATGGGATTCTTGAAAACAGGTAATTCATGTGTATTACTTTCTGACATGAATCAGATAATATTTTTAAAACACATAAGGAGTGGGAAGAGGAGGGCTGACCATAAAAGGGGCATGAGGAAATTTTTAGGAATCTTTATCTTGATAGTGGTGGTTGTTACCTATGTACAGCTGTCCAAATTTAGAACTATACACCAAAGAGACTGAATCTAACTGCATGTAATTCACACCTCAAAAAAAGTACATTAAGGGGAGATACTGTAGAGGCCCAAAGGAATTTTTCAAGATGATGGAAACATTCTATATCTTGATTGTGGATATGTATTCTTAACTTGTATACATTTGTCAAAACTAACTATATACTTAAGGTGGGTGTATTTTACTGAATGTTAGTTATACCCAAAACGGATTTTCAAAAGTATTATCTACCATCTACAAGATCTATATGCCATTTTACTAAAAGATAACTAGCGTTCTCCTATAAAAATAGTTCCATAAATGTCACCTTACAAAGCAGAATTAGCAAAACTCCAAAACATAACTGAAGACAAAGGGGATTATTCTATAATTTCCACACGTTAGAAGACAATCCATTAGCCACAACCAAATCTATCCTATTCTTAATTGCTTGAGTTAAACCTACACACCAAGGCCAGGTTAATTTTCTTAAAACCCCACTCTGAATATATCATTCCTCTCTCCAAATTTTCCAATGAATCCCTAAATGCCAAATCTTTTGTCTAATTGCTGTCTGTAATAAGGCACCCTTTTCTTTTTATCTCCACTAAAGCCCTATGTAGAAATAAACAGGTCAGAATGGTAAAACAAACAGAAAAATCCAAGTTTAAATTCTAGCTCCAGTTATTAGCTGTGACCTGATATCTATAAAACGAGGAAATGACCTAAGATTGTGAGGCTTACATAAAGTATCCATCAAAGTACTCGCTCCCTCTTCTATAATGGCCCCATTCCCAACCATCCCAGAGCTTAATGATCACAGCTTAATCTCAAGTACTTGTATTTACCACTTTTTTGTCACTTTTTTCACACACATACTACCTTTTGAGACAATCTTTTTATTACATCAGTGTCCCTCGCACCTAGCAGTGTCTTACAGAAAGGCACTCAACATACTTTTCAGAAGAATAGCAATGTCCTCCTAGAGTAAGATTTTTTTTGTTTTTAAATTAAACTCTATGTCCAACATGGGGCTCAAACTCACGACCCAGAGATCAAGAGTCCCATGCTCTACCGATTGAGCCAGCCAGGCGCCTCTAGAGTAAGAGATTTTTAAGGCCAGGGATCATGACCCATTACATTGTAGTGCTTACAGTATTATTTACATTGTTTTTATAGAAAATGTGGTTCTAAGTTCCAACTCTGAAATACCAGAAACATCTTGCATTGATCTACCCCAGAAAATATTTTAAATTAGTGCTACTCAACATATGGTCTGCAAACTGAGGTCACTAGGAAAACCTGTTACCATTCCACAAGGTAAGAAACTGAGAGTAAGACATGAACACTTTTATAGAAATTTAACATTGCCATAACATCCTTCAAGTTTGTGATCAGTAAGTATATTTACAAAAACATCGATCTAGGCAAGACTGAAAATTAAACACAAGTAGGTCTTTCACCACAGGTGGTTTGAGGTACAGTTTTAAATGGTACGTTTTAAGTTAAATAAGATAGGAAGCACATTCAGCTATCATTCTAACATTGTTTCTTTAGGAAAAGGAACTCCAAATTTCAATTAACCAACTTAAAAAATAACTTTGTGAATGTGATTTGCTATGTACAATTTCCCCTCTAACTCCCCCTCCTGAAAGTAAACACTCTAATATACACCTAGAATAAAATATAACAATGAGGCCTAGTTTCTCTCTTCCATAGATGCTTCATAAAAGAAAAAAGGGCAATTTTCTTTCCCTTCCTGATTTACCGTACCTCTTCCCTCTCTTGTGGCCGTATCCACATCTTAATTGTTAAACTAAATCAGAATGCAAGGCAAAGAAACATGTAGGAATGGTCAGGCCTATTTGGTTTTAGGCTGCATGTGATCTAACTTAATCAGGATTAGATACCAGGATAAGGATTTGGTTCATCTTTGTGATATGTTCCCTATCCATATCTTCTGAGGAAGCAAGCAAAGGGACAACAGGAAACCAGGTGAGGAATTTGAAATTCTGAGGTAAGATTTCAAGCATAAACATCTAACAATTCTAAAGCTGTCTGCAGAATGAAATTAAATAAATTTAAATTCATAAGGAACTAACATTCTGAGATGCCATTCATGTAGAAAACTCAAATTTTAAGAATAGCCAGATCTCACTGAAGGACCAAGATTTTATGCTGGAAAGAGACCAAAATTAGTGCCTCTAATTTGTACACATTAATCTAGTAGTGGCAGATGTAAGGCTTCATTTCTAGAGTTACTACCTCATAACAGGATGATAAGCTATTTGGCATCTACACTGTTAGAAGTTAGTTAACCAACTTCTCTTATACATGTATAAAACTGAGAAACTGGTGACTACATCAAGCCCATTATTCTGGGAATCCAGGGTCTCTTCTGAGGTTCAGACACAAGGATGGGAACACTTTGTAATGAGAAGATAAAGCTGAATGAGGGGAGGGAGTCCTTTACAAATAAATAAATCCCCTTCTAGAAGTACAGTAGACAAAACATAAAGGAATTATTGTTAACTCAAAGATTATACAAGGAGAAACATCTTAAAAATTCGTTCTTAAACACTTAGATTTTAAGAATCAGATATGCACTGAGCAACTGATAAGGCACTTTCAGGTTAAGTATGTAAAAAGAATCTATGGCCCAGGTTCTGAAAGAGGAACAACTAAAACTCAAACATGAAAAGATTCTGATTTAAAAATAACTTCAAAACTTGTAGCCAAGGGGCGCCTGGGTGGCTCAGTCGTTAAGCATCTGCCTTCAGCTCAGGTCATGATCCCAGCATCCTGGGATCGAGCCACCTGTCCCTGCTCAGCGGGAAGCCTGCTTCTCCCTCTCCTACTCCCTCTGCTTGTGTTCCCTCTCTCGCTGTGTCTCTCTGTCAAATAAAGAAATAAAATCTTTAAAAAAAAGAGAGAAAAGGGGGAAACACATCAGATCTTAATGGTGGAAAAGACATACAATTGAGCTAAGAAGCAGACTTAAGTTTTAAAAATGCAGCTAAATCTACAAAAGAGAAGGGTAGGGAAATGCCATTAATTCAATATATCTATTTAAAGTATTTTATGGCTTTCTTGGGATAAAGACCAACATCCTTCAATAGCCTCCAAGGCTCTGCATTATCTGGCCATGGTCATCTGCTCTAGCCTTAGACACTCTCCTTACTCTTTCTAGTCAACTACTCTGGCCTCAGATGACATATCTGTAATATTCCCTTTATTTAGAATCATCTATCTGTTCACCCTCTCAGTCCCCATTTTACTCTTATATCCATCTTTCATATCTCAGCTCATTTTTTTAAGGAAGCCCTCCCTGACCATCAATCACTATTCCCAAATCCAAGATCTCAAACAAGAGCTGGAACACCTGCTTCAAACATTCAGTTTCCCTGTATTTTTCTTTCCTAGCAATTATTTTACAATTGTACATATTATACAATTATATCTTTTTCCTCCATAAAGGCAAGGTCTTCACCTGTTTTGCTTACCATTATATCCCCTAGGACTAGTATAGAGTTTTGGACCTGGTACACTAAGAAAACTGGAATCTCAAAAAAAAAAAAAAAAAAAAAAAAGATCTAGACTACTTTATACAAAAGATGCTTAGAAAAGAAAGATTACGAATTCAAAAGCTTAGGTGGTAACAAATAAGTGATGAAATGCAATTTATGTTATCTACTAAAACACTGGCTTGAAATGTTCCTAGTGAAAGTTCTAGTTCTGGTATCTTTGGAGGGGATTTCCTCTGCTAACAGAGGACCAGGAATGGATGATGATTAAGGGGAAGAGAGAGGAGACATTTTGCTTTTCATTTGACCCAAATACTTTTGCAAGCAACTCCAATTTGGAAGTCCCTTCATGATACCTTTCAGCCAGTGGACATGCACTTAAGAAGTCAAAGGAGTTAGGACTACAGAATTCCAAAACGGGTAGTACTAATAGCACAAAAGACTCCTGGGATCCTGTAGGATAGAAAACTAAAGACCAGAGATTTATTCCAGTAAGCCATAGTACTTGGTCAAAACCCAAAATAAATTCAAAACCCACAATAAACTGGAGTGCCAGAAATAAGAAGTGAAGAAGACAGACTATAAGGAATTATGTCAGACATTCTAAAAAGAAAATAAACATATTTTAAATATACTCCATTACACCAAAAAAGCAAGGAGAAACAGCAGAAAAAACTTACAAGACTAAAGGTATAACCACTATGAATTTCTGAAATCTGCTAATTAGTATGGAGTTTTCAGAAGCCATTCTTTAAGAAACAATTTTTTTTAGAAGATTTTATTTATTTGTCAGAGAGAAAGGGAGAGCGAGGAAGAATAAGCAGGGGGTGCGGCAGGCAGAGGGAGAAGCAGGCTCCCTGCTGAGCAAAGAGCCCGATGGAGGACTCAATCCCAGCACCCTGGGATCATGACCTGAGCCAAAGGCAGACACTTAACTGACTGAGCCACCCAGGCATCCCAAGAAAAGAAACAATCTTCAAGGATGGTAGGGTTTATTACTGAAGTAGGGTTACAAATGTCAAATATGGCCTATTGCCATGAGTTGACTGACATCTTCAAGAAGTAAAAACCATGAAATGTCCTTTTTTTTTCCTATCAACCACTTCCCCTAATATATTCTGCCAATATCTGTGACTAGTAAACACAACCGTAGATCTAGAATATAAAATAATAAAAGATCCTCAAACACCAACTTCATTTTGCACAGATAATGATGGGAATTTGCTTTGGTTTATAACTTACTACAAATGACATATATAAGTCAGGCAGTTGATTGTTCTAACTTTGAGGTTGTAATACTACAATATTTATGTATCTTGATATTCCCCCGAACTCTAGAGAATGAAATACATGGGGATTTGGGAGTAGAAATATTATAACTTTGGAAGTGCTGAAAGAACATGAGTTCCAATGGAAGACTCCCAGACTACCACTGTTGAACAAATCCAGGATCCAACTAAACTGATTAAGATTTGTCTGAGATGGTACAGAATAAAAAATATAAAGGGAAGACAGATACGTTTTTGTATATGATTTAACTTCTACTAATTAATGTCAGGGAAAAACAAAGATTAATTTTGTTCTCTTATAAGAGAATTTGACCACAGATTTTACAAAGTTTTATAGTGCTGGCATGACATATTGGTGTCTAGGGAATTTCTTACAATGCTATGTGATATGTTTAATGGAACATCAGGATCATGCCTAATTTGAGATGAGAAATACATTGAAGTAATTTAATAATACTGAGCCTTGAGGGTAAACTTAAAACAAAGCAATATCCCAATTTAGTTTAGTGTCTCTGGGAGTGACACTGAAACATTCATAAAGATCTTGGGGGCGGGGGGGGGGAATGCTGAATCACTTAGCACAGTAACTCAACACCTCTGGGGCCTAAAGTGCCTTGTTGAGTATTAAGGTCCAACATAGTTAGGTCTGTTATTTATTTATTTTTTAAGATTTATTCATTTATTTGACAGAAAGAGAGAAAGCAAGCACACAAGCAGGGGGAGCAGCAGAGGGAAAAGCAGGCTCCCCACTGAGCAGGGACCCCCCCCCCCCCGGAGCGGGACTCAATCCCAGGGCTCTGGGATGACCTAAGCCGAAGGCAGCCGCCCAACCAACTGAGCCACTCAGGTGTTCCCTAGGTCTGTTATTTAAAAAATAAATAAACAAAAATAAGGGAAAGAGCAAGAGAGAGGGAGAGGGAGATCGATCAGTCTTGGGGGATTGAAATGGCCAATTCACTAGTCCCACCTGGATCCTAAAGATTGAAAAAGTTGTTTTTCAAAATTACAGGAAGGAATTCTTGCAACCCTCTGATGCTTCTGTGAGTGAGTTAAAAACACCTCTGTTACAGTACTGGCTAGCTGTTGAACCCACCAGGTCAAAAGGAACAAAATTATTGGGTGAGTGATTATTCAGAAACAACTGACTAGTATTACCTATCTCCCTCACAACACACATTCTAAGGGAAGCTCTGTAGTATTTGTCAAAGCCAATGTCACAATGAGGTAGTAGTAGGTTTAGCAGTGATAAAGACAGAACCTTGATGGGAAAGATAAAGAAAAGGGTCAAGTTTTCTTCTTGGTTCATTCTTCCTTCCCATACAAACCCTGAAAGACCTGGAGGGCAAACTATTAAAATGTTCAGGAAAGCTCAAAGACGAGGTTCTGACTACAGCTTATACTTTTAAGTAAAAAAGGCCCTGAGGATCCCAAGAGCTCTGTCTAGGGTAGGTGACCAGACAAGGATCTGGAATAGAAATTCAAGCAACAGAGTTTATATGTACTGAGAATATTCTCAGTCCTATTTTATGAGGTACTCCTTGGGCAGTAATAGACAGATTAGGTAAAGATTTGGGATCTCAGCTTCTAGAATGGACTATCACAGTTTATTCACAAGTCAAAATTGCCTAGATTTGGAAATATAAATTATAGTTCAGTCCTACAAAAGTGTAAGACATATAATTAAAAATGTGATTTTACAATTCAAGTAACAAAATAACCTAATTCAAAACCCAAACTTAAAATATAAGCAACTGCAAAAATGACATCCTATACCAGTTACTAAAATGAGAAATCATAAATGAAGTATCGGGCGCCTGGGTGGCTCAGTCGTTAAGCGTCTGCCTTCAGCTCAGGTCATGATCCCGGGGTCCTGGGATCAAGCCCCACATCGGGCTCCCTGCTCAGCAGGAGCCTGCTTCTCCCTCTCCCACTCCCCCTGCTTGTGTTCCTTCTCTCGCTGTGTCTGTCTCTGTCAAATAAATAAATAAAATTAAAAAAAAAAAAAGCCACTATTTAAAAAATAATAATAATAATAAATGAAGTATCATTAAGTCAGTGTACATCTTATCTAAATCGATAAGGTATGATTTAAAATTTCAAGAAACAGGGGCGCCTGGGTGGCTCAGTTGGTTAAGCGACTGCCTTCGGCTCAGGTCATGATCCTGGAGTCCCGGGATCGAGTCCCGCATCAGGCTCCCTGCTTGGCAGGGAGTCTGCTTCTCCCTCTGACCCTCCCCCCTCTCATGTGCTCTCTCTCTCTCTCTGTCATTCTCTCTCTCAAATAAATAAATAAAATCTTTAAAAAAAAAATTTCAAGAAACAATCTATTGTGGCAATTTTACCAGCTTCATTTTTAAAAAATCTAACATTTTTAGTTTTGTATTCCCCCTGAAAGTAGTCAATGAATAAACAACTACCACCCAAGTTCCTGTGTCTCTTTAGAATGATACTCAACTTTCTCTAGTTTACATATCAAAGAAAAAAATGGAAGCACACTGTCTAGCTTAGGCAAATATTAGGCTAGTCAGAATTTTTAGGGATTAGTTCTAGGTACTACATTTGAAAACATACAATAAATAGATTCTGTCCAAAGGGTTAAGTTTCTGAAACTCTTATGTGATAAACATATTTCAAATATAAAGTTAGGAATACTTTGATTGAAAGGTGTAAATATGGGGAAGGACAAGATGGAAAGAGAGCCTCTTTCAGATTTGAAGACGATAATTTAGGAGAAATGTGATGTTCCGAAGCACCTAGCATACCATCCAGTATAGAGTTAAGTATACCATAAATATGAATCTCCATCCCTCCTTATGTGAGGTAGTAGGATTAATATCAACTGCAGAAGTTACAGAAACTTTGAGTCAAAACCCAAGAAACTGGTAAATTAACAATAGTGAACACAACTGCCTTAGAAAACAGCAAGTCCCCAGACTGGAGATATTCAAGATGAGGCTTAAAAGTTCTCTGCCACGAATGCTATAGAATTAGCCATTTCTGATTTACATACGAGTTTGGACCAACTGACCTCTAAGGTTTCTTCTAACTCCTTACAATATTGGGGTGATCACTAGAGAAATGATCACTATAATTTTTTCTTCTTTCCTCAAGTATGTCACTTAATGTAAACTGATAGGTTATCTTACCTATGAGATTCTTGCTCTCCTTTCATTTTCTCTACTTTTGATAACATATCATCAACTTTAAATGTTTTCCTGAAAGAAACAGATAAACAAAATAATCACTTCTCAACTGGGAAAAAAAAAAAAACAGATTACACTTCATTGTCACTATAATAGGCAAGTTGGAAATCTGATTTTGATTATTTTTAATAAGATAAATTGTGTATGGTTAGCCATAACAATGAATACTATATTGAAACAGTGTATGTTATATACAACAGACAACCCTTCAAGTCCCATCTCAAATGCTACCTTTTCCATGAAACCTTCTGTAATTATTCCCAAACCAAAGTGATTTCCCCTTACCTATGACACTTGGCTTATATTTATTTTGACATTTAGTCTCATAAATGTGAACTTGCATAAATATTTTATTTTTTCTCCTAGACTATAAGCTCCTGAAGGGCAGAGATTATTTTTCTTCAAGGAAAGCTACATCATGGTACCTTACATTTGAAAGGTATTCAAGCATCTGTTGGACTGAACCAAACAAATGCAAATCATGTTATTTTGAAACATTCATCTACTTCTATTAAGTAACCTGACAAATATGTGGTTGTACTATTACATAGAAATAAATACTTTATAAAAAATAACTGAAGTTAACAAAACATCCTCAAAGATTATTAGCAATGGCTAAAGTTAAATGATATGTCATATTAAAGAGATGGTTATCAACCACCATGGAAAAATTTTGGAAGTTTAGGGGACATACCCATCAAATCATAATAAAATTATTAGCTTTTAACTTTAGAAGTTTAAGAGAAAAAAAGTACTTTTTCCACAAAATAGAAACTTAAGAATAACCCCCACACACTCCCAAGCAATTTAAGAATGAATGGACTCTAAAACAAGCCTTATCTTAGTTCTTAAGGTGGTCTATTATTTTTGTCCTATAGACAGAAGCTAAAAATCTAGACCCACATATGTTAACTGGAAATGAATATTTCTTTTTATACTCATATATTTTTTTAAAACTTAAGACATGAAAAACTTAATGTATTCCACATAAATTACTTTGTAAAGCTTGAATTCATACACTAGAAATTACTAATACGCTCATTCCTCAAAAACAGCTATTGTACTCAACTACTATAAAAACTATCAGTAGAGAAATGTTAATGTAAATGTATTACAGTAAAATACTAATAAGGAAGAGCAGAACTGATGCAAACTATAGTTCAGGTGAAAAAACAGCCTCCATTAACAAAAGATCTTTAAAAAAAAAACTTCTCTCTTTACCTTTAGAGTTACTGAAAACTTCAATATTAATGTTTCATCCAATAGAGCATAAAAGGAAGTACTTTAGGAAGGATGGCAATACATTTTCAATCTCCACAGATAAGAGAGAAGAAAGAAGAAAAATGTAGGATTATTTTAGGCTAGTTACAAAGAACTTTCCAGTATAAATACTGAAATGTACTACTAAGGAAGGTTGTAAAGTTACTGGAAGCTTTTAAGAATAGTAAGTTTATCTTTATGCAATGATAAAGAAGAAATCCTGTCTGTAGAAAGAAAAGTTAAGACTGTAAGTCACAAGGTTCATTTCTTCCAACATTATGGAGGTGTGCATAGGAGAAGTGCATAGGAAAGTTGAATATTAACAACCATATGAAATAGGTAAGATCATAAAGGCAATCCAGCCTTCCTTAGGAAAAAAACAAAACAAACCACATAAGCAACTATATGAAAGCAGCCTCACTCCCAGCACCAAGTATGTCTGTTCTTTAGAAAGGTACTGCTACAGTAGCTCAGATTTAATAAGGGAAATAGTTATCAAAAGATCACCAAAAAGGAGAGTATTTTTAAAATTCAAGAAATTCTAGGAAACTTTCTTAGGAGGATCCAGAAACAACTTACATGAAATCTAGTAAAATGGATTCAATAAAAGAAGCCCTTCTCCTCACAAATATTTCTACTGAATAAGTGTTGCATTAGTCTATAGAATTTGAATATCTCTATGAAGTGAAACTAAAGTACAAGGTGAGTTTAACAAACACCAGAATTAATATCACAACTGAGTGTATGATTTCAAAGGGAATGATATATTTATTCCAACAATGGATATTATGCTGTTATAAATAGTAAAAAAAAGAGTTCCAAAAACATTGAGCGAAAGGATCGTATTAAAAGCAATTTTATAAAAGGAGTCCCACAAACACGTTTAACAAAGACCACAATCACTAGGCTAAATTCACCACCTTCTTCTAAAGTCACCAACTACTTTGAAAAGAACAGCACTCATTTGAGGATATAAGCTGTATTAATTTGTTAAAAATTAGTTTTAATGTCTTTTATAAGCTAGGCATATAACAAAAGCATTAAGTGATTCCTAATGCATTTTTGCATGGAAATAAACTATGGAGTTTATATGTTTCTTGCCTGGTAAACTGCTGCAAAACTCCCCCAAAAGACAATTTTTTGCCTAAAGAGCAATAAATTAAAAGTAACTTCTTCTACCAAGCTTTTAAAAGTATCTCCACCTATTAGCAGACAACAGAAACGTATCCCACAATGAGACAAACAATCCAATAAACAAACATGACAAGAAAATAATGAACTTAAGATTTTAAACATATTTTTTAATCTATTTATGGATTAACTCATTATTCTGAAAAAAACTTAATCACTTCAATCACTTAAAAAAAAAATGGTTAAGTAACCTCTACACCCACATGGGCCTCAAACTTATAACCCCGAGATCAAGAGTCTCATGCTCTACCGACAGCCAGCCAGGCACCCCCAAAAAACTTAATCACTTTTAAATTAAAATCAGGCAGCATTCTAAATGACAACTCAAATGATCTTCCACATTAAAAATACTAGAGAAAAAAGTTAACTACTACTTAATAAAAATCTAGTTTTATAGAATAAATCAGCACACTACAGACCATAGGCCAAATCCCGCCTACTGCCTGTACCCAGACCACAAGCTAAGAATGATTTTTATGGATAAATATTTGCGACTGACTTGATATAGAACACTAACTCTAAACCCCAATTAAGGTAAATGTCATCTCTTCCCACCCCACAAAAATAAAAGTCTCACACTTCTCACTAGTAGGCATATTCTACAAAACACTATACTCAATTATTATATTTTAAATTTCATCAATAAAAAATTTGTGGACATTTGTTTTCTCTCTTTTTGTGTAAGTATCTACCTACAATCTCACTAATAATCTTAATTCTGCCTCCTGGACCACAAAGCCTAAAATATTTACTATCTGGTCCTTCACAGAAAAAGTCTGTTGAACCCTGGCATAGATCAAATAATGGCACAGATAGGCAAAGAACTGACAAATTTAATTCTGTTGCCTAATCCAACACCTTCTTCCTAGTTATTTAGGCTCTTGGCAAGCTTCACCTATTAAATGTAATGCACACAAGCACACAATCGCTCACATACTCTCTGTTCAGAAAGATTACTAGAAGACAAATAGTTTTAACATTTCAATCCTTCAAAGTACACCTACGTATATCTACAAAGCTAAACCAAGTCTTGCTATATAGAAACATGATGCTTACTTAGTAATCAGTAGGAGCCTCCAAAGGAGTTTGGTTTCAAAGTCTATTGGATGGCTTAATGGTTTTAGTGAGTCAATACTAACAATACCAAATGCTTAATACGAGTTCTCTCCTTTGAACTTAAAATTGTTCATTTGATATACTCAATAATCTTGCATGTAGGATAAGAAACTAGCATTCCATAATTACATATGGTTAAATATTACATGTTTTAAACAAAAATAAGCTCTGACTGACAAGTCCAAACTCCACTTGAAGACTAGGTAATTAAGACTTCTTGTTTTTTAAGGACATTCAATCTACGGACTTCAAAAATATTTCCTCTTCTAGAAAGACCACCACCAAAGATATAAAACAACACTTTCTGAACCTATCATTATGGAAGCAAATTCTTTATTGTTAGAACATATAAGAAATATTTAAAAATTAACCTAAATTTATGTATTGAAGACAGTTCCCCGAGCCCTTTAATATTTAAATCCTCAGCTTCTACCAAACTTGAAAATACTCATAGCACAAAGTAAAAATATTATTCAGTAAAATTACTTCACTCCACTACTACATCATTTCTACTAGGAAAAAAAAATTGGTAATAAACTGGGATTTATAAAAATGATACTATTAAAACACCTGGCAACCAATTCAACCAGTCACTTTTTCACCTCAGTTTTCATATTTAATCTTTAATTAGAAATAGTACTTTAAAACTTTAACATTGTTTGATCAACTCAAAATTAAGATTCATAAGATGTACCTTTTGATGTTTGTTCTGGAGTTTCGATGAGACATGTAAGTAAGAGTCCTGTGCAAAAATATTGGCTATAAAAAAAGTTTTAAAAATATTAAAATTAAATAGGTAATATTCTAAGAAAAAATAATATTCATTAATTTTATCGACTACTTACAGCTATAAGATTTCGAGTTCGAAGAAATCTATAGATCTGCGTTGGTTCTAGGTAACAAGAAACAAAAGGATTACTTAAGTTCTCAAGAAAATAACCAATCCAGCCAGTATTATAACCAACGTAAACCAATCACCTATATGAAAATCATGTACCGAATACTGACATCAAGAAAATTAGCATGCACAGTAACATCAAAAGACATTCAGTCTACGGCATATATTCACAAAACTCATCTACATTTATTTTAAATTTAAGGTTCTCTACAATCTTGTGCTTAAGTTTTGCATTTCTAAGGTAGCTACTTTTTAAACTAGTCTGTATGCAGAACTGAAGAGTAATTACACTGATTTAATTTCGCTAATTTAAACTATAACCCATCTCCTCCCCAAAAAGTAGCTGAAATGAGGTAGCTGGATTCAGCAAAAGAACTTATTGATGCTAAATAACAAAATAAAATTTTCACTTTTTAACTGGTCTTTTAAAAAATTTGGAGTAAGCCAAAACAGTAAAACGGTTTCCTAGATGTCCTAATGCAGATATGAAAGTCAGTCAATACTTAAAGAAATGAAACACAAACTATAGCTAAAATTTCCAATGAATATTTAGTTTTAATTGAAGTTTTTATCTATTTTGTTCAATGTAAATATTATCCCAATATGTAATACTACTTCAACACATATTTTTAAATTAATCAACAGATTTCTAGGCTTTTTAATGCTCTTTAGTTAAAATTCATTTGCCTTTATAGATAAAAAATATATTTTATATACAAACAATACCAGTTCCCTTAATGATTTAGTATCACATTTCTTTAAAGGCGTATCAAAATGAACTAAAGATAACTGACTATATCAATAAAAATATCAAAGCATTTTAACTTCTCAGAAATTAAAATCAATATTAGAGAAGAATCAAGTTGTTTTGTGATAAAATCTAGCACTTAATGACAGTTTACTCCTACAAGGTAGACTCATCAGAAAGCTTCAAAATAGCTTAAACTTTCTTGGCAGATTTGTCTTCTCATAACATTTAGAAAGAAATGTTTAAATTTCCACTTAATCTTCAGTTAGTTTAGTTTTAGTGTCAAATAAACGAAAAGGAGAGGAGATAATTTAGAAGGGGTACAAACATGTATGTTTATTGTCATCACTGCCCTTCAGTTCTCCACCATTTTTCCAATTTAAAGCACTCCAGATTTTTCAAAGTAGATTAAGCAAAAGTAAGACTGTGAATCTCTCTCAAGCAGGTTCAATATTCGTTTCAATAAAAACTGAAATTCCAATTAGAATTTCATGAAGCACTAATCAGAGAATGAAAGAAGGGTATTAAACAATGTAATACGTCTTTTCAAGCACAGCTGATACCATGCCTTTAACATATGCCACGGTAAAATTGTAAATAAAGACATGAGGCGGTAAAGCCGAGTTCATTCAAGTTTCTGTTATTTAGCCATTAGTGATCATCCAAATTATAAAATGTACACAAAAGCAAAAATGAAAACAATCACGATATAATACTCTTTAAAGGACAGTTGAGATTATTTAGTCATATTTTTAATAAATTCTATTGTTTCCAGACACCTTGCCTTCCTCTCCAAATCAAGTCATAGTTTTGCCCCTTAAGACCTTAAAAGCCGAAGCTGACATAAGAAAATGTTCTGGAATTAAGACAAGTACAACGGGCAAAATTCCGAGGTCATCTCAAGATAAGATACTTAAGCACTACGTGACTCAGTTTACGTACCCATGGAATGGGTGGATAGATCTGAAAGGTTTAAAGCATCAAAAGGTGCCATGTTAACATGCAGCACCAAGTTAGTGCGAAAGCATTTCAGGCAAATGACAATTTGGTCGATTTCACTGCACTCATCTCTTCACAGGCTTAATTTTGCTCCTCAAAACCTACAACCGAAACCCCTGTACTTCTAGAGTAAGAAAAGACATCAAAGAAAGCAAAAACTAGTCTTGGGATCTGACTGCATCCTCAGTCCAACTGTAACCTCCTCATCTAAAAGCCTGCTCTTAACGTGGGGCCCCACTGCCCAACCTCTCCTGTAAATCTTCAGGGAGTCAAGAACCTCACCTGCACCCCCAGTTCCACCTCCCCAAAGGCCCTACCTAGACTTCGGGCCCCCTGGGCCGTAATCTCTAAAGTGGGAACAGCCCCCTCAATTTCTTCCTTCACTCCCAAATCAAGTCGAGTCCCGGCGAGGAAGAGGGGCCCAGCACGAGTGTCCCGGCCCCCTAATGCTGCAAGAGGGGGTATTCCTGCTCTCAAAGCCTCAAACACACTCACTCTCAAAGGCCTGGAGGAAAAGCTCGTGGTCAGCCTGGACGTGCTCCATTTTCGGCTTCTTCACCGGTAACACCGCGGCCCCCGCCGCTGCCACCGCGGAGGAGGAGGAGGAGGCCGAGTAACTGCCGCCGCCTCCACAGCCCCCGCCGCCGGATTTGCCGCCCGACGCCGTCGCCGCCGCAACCGCCGCCGAACCCCCGAAGCCGCCTCCCCCGGACCCCGCGCTGGGCCCCGAGCCGCCCCCTCCCCCACCACCGTGCTTCTGAGGCGCCATCGCGGTTCCTGCCTCCTCCCCCCGCCAGCTACCCGCCGGGCGGCCCCGGAGAGTAAGCGCCTGCAATACCAACCGCTCGCCCCAGCAGGCTCCGGCGGACCGAGGGGGGAAGGAGGAGAGAGGGGAGGAGAGGGGAAGGGAAGGGAGGAGGAGAGGAGGGAAGGAGGGAGGAAAAAAAAAGTGTCTCCTCCTGAGAGCCCCGCTCCGCTCCGGAGGCCGCTCACCCTAGCCTGGCCTCGCTCCGCCCACTTCCCCCGCCCGGCGTCCTGATTGGCCGGCGGGAGCGCGCGCCGCCCGGCCGCCCAGCCCGTTGGCCCGCGGATTCTCCCGTCAGTTACGCGGAGGCGCTTCTCGCGGAGGCGCGGCTTGGTTGGCCCGTGCGCGCTGCCGATCGCGAGCCCGGCCGCCTCTTTGAACTGAATTCGCGGGAAAATTAGGGGTCGGAGCGGCCTTCCTGCTGGCCCCGGTGCATTGTGGGGAGAGAGGGACCCGGCGAGCGGCTTAGGGAGCCGTTTCTCGCCTTCTGAGCGTTGTCAGTCACCGCCCCCAGGGGGGTACAAGACCCCTGAAGAGAGGCGGGCCTCTGAGGAACTGGGGTGCGGGGCCTGTTAAATGAACTGAGATCCATTACGGATCTTCGAGTCTCTAACTTAGCAGGAAGGGGCCTGACTGGGAGTTGGGTGGGTCGTTTCTCGGTAGAGGAACTCCCGAGGCGGGGATCGCGTCCCCTATCCCCTCGCCACCACGTGCCCCAGCCACCCCTGGCCGAATCCCACCCCGCAAAGCCCTTGAGAGGATGGGGGCTTCCCGGGGGCTGGGGCTGCGGCTGCCGCTGTCGGACGCGACCGGGCTCCACCAAAGGGAGCGGTTTATATGTAACAGGAATCACCTATAAAATGAGGAAAACTATTTTTGGTAGGTGATTTGAAGCTTCAGGATCGTTAACTGAGAAAGTCGTGTCTTCTCAACATGCTGGAAGCAAAACCTACATACTTGATCCCCCCTCAGCCCGCCAGGCACCATAGGAGTGGTCAGAGGGGTAAACTGAACGATTTCTTAGAAGTACGTACAACCTTGAGAACCTATTCATTTTGCGCTCAAAAACTTGAGAGGGAATCTGTTGTTTTGCCTGTCCTGCTTAAGAAGATAGATACATAGGCCCAATTTAGTGTCCTCGTACAGACAGGTTTGGAGTTGAGCTAATACTCTTATTAAAGATTTGAATTTCAATTTGGACAAGGTGATCTCTAAGATGTTCTAGCCAATTCAAATACTGTGATCTTATATTACGTTAAAATGAAACATTATCTTCCAAAATCCCAATCTATAAACCCAGAACCATTTCATATTTTCAATAACACTTTTCAAATGTCTGCTTTGGGACCTTTATAAAAGTTAACTGCAAACACTGTTTACAAAACAAGTATCTTCGGAATGGTTATTCAAGCGGTTTCCAAAACTAGTGTCTTTGGAACAGTTATTCAGACATCTGAAGTACTGCTTTTAATCAAAGCATTTGCTACTTAAGAAAATGAGCTCTACAAATGACGTGTTTAATATAAAATTTGGAATTTCAGGAACACATCTGAAATGAGGTATACCTGTTGCTTGATTTTAAGTACAGCCTATATTTTCAGTAAGATAAAAAGTTCAGAATGCTCTCATTTGTTCTACTATTCTGTACTCTCTACTTCAAAAAAAAGAGGGTTTTTTCTTTTTTAGATTTCTGAAATAAGCCTTTTCTGATTAATGCCACCCCACAGACGTTTGTGGGGTTTTAGATCTTGGCAAACTGCTCACCTTTAGCTTTGCAGGGTTAGAAAATAAGGTTTCATCATTTGGTCGGGGTCTGGAGAATTAAATCACACTAGACAAATCACAAAATATCGTTATAAATGAGAATGCTAATTTATTAACAGTAAATATGAATGACCAGCAAATGATCCATCATTTATACAGGATTTTCCCTTTGTGGGGGAGTGGGGGGGAAAGGTACAATCCAGGAAAAAGCAAGTCACGGATTATCACCAGTCTTTGAAGAACAGAGAAATGGAGGTAAGGGAGTTGGGATGTTCTTAAAGGGTATTTCCCATAAGAACTCCATATTAGCAATCTTGACTTCGGCATGGGCATGGTTTTGATGTACAGTAGTTAACCAGTACTGGCCATGAGAATCCAAGCCAACCATGCTGTGGGAGAGGCATAGTATCAAATTCTCACTTTCTGTATTCTTTGTCTTGAATGTATGTAGAACACAGAATTCCATATTACCTGGGACAAGGTAGAGTTAATTGATGAGTTATCTTTTTGTCCCATAGGTAAAACATTTAGAGGTCATCCCATGGTTGGTTGTTTCTGTGGCCAGCTAATTTATTTTGTGTTGTTATTTCTTAAGTTTGGGGTGGCAACTGTTTTTTAAACTTGTGCCAATTCACCATCAATGACATATATATGTTTAGTCTCCTTCATATGGAGTTTGAATTGCTTTCCAGGGTTTTGTTTGTTTTAGCCTTCGTGCCATATCTGGAATTGAACTGTAAACTCCTAAAAAAAAAAAAAGGCCATTGTCCTTTATATATATGTATATATGATAGACTATATATATATATATATTTCCTAGCATAGGATTAGATATGTGAACAAGGAAAGAATAGCAACTGTTTTAACCTTTATAGTTATCAATATACTTTTATATGTATTATCTCACTTTTTCATAATGATCCTATGAAGCTGGCATTATTTTCATTTTACAGATGAGAAAATAGGCTCAGAGAAATTAAATGTTCATTTAGTGGCAAGGCTGTGACTTGAACACAGGTTTTTTAAACTCCAATTCCTATGCACCTTCGCAATCAGAAGAAAGTTATTCTTAGTACCTCAAAAGTTGACTGGGTCTTTTTTTAAAGTTTGTTTTTAAAATGAGGCCCACCTAGCTTCTCTTACAAAACAGAATTGTTTTATACTCCTCCCTATTGTGCACTCTTTCATTAGTGCCCCCACTTTTCCTTACACAGACTTCTTCTGTGCTGGGATTTTTAACCTTTCTTATGCCATGGACTCCTTTGGCAGTCTGATGAAGCCTATGGACCCCTTCTTTTAAAAATGTACAAATATGGGGTGCCTGGGTTGCTCAGTCGATTAAGCATCTGCCTTTGGCTCAGGTCATAATCCTGGGGTCCTGGGTTCAGAGCCCCAAGTGGGGGCGGGTGTCCCTCCTCAGCAGGGAGTCTGCTTCTCCCTCTGCCCCTCCTCCACCACTGGCAAGAGCATGGGCACTCGCACTCTTTCTCTCTCATATTTAAATAAAATCTTTAAAAAATAAAAATGCATAAATAACCTATCAGATTATAAAGAAAATCAATTACAAACAAACCAAAATAGTAAAACATCAAGTTGTGATGTAGGTGCTTCTTTTTTTTCTTTTAAATAAGCATTATGGCCAATGTGGGGCTCCAACCCACAGTGCCGAGATCAAGAATTGCATGCTCTCCTGACTGAGCCAGCCAGGTACCCCAGTAGGTGCTTCTTTTTGAAGGCACTAAATAAAATCTAGAACCAGATCCAATCTAATAACTATCATTATTCAAAGTAATGATGAGGGCAAATAATATTTTGAGATACCTGCAAGAACTGTAATTTGATATGGAAATATCTGTAATTTCTCCTGGAAACAAAGCCACAGGCACTGCTAACACTACTGTGATTTATCACTGATATTAGTAGTTGAAGAAAATACTAATTTCAGGGGCGCCTGGGTGGCTCAGTTGTTAAGCGTCTGCCTTCGGCTCAGGTCATGATCCCAGGGTCCTGGGATCGAGCCCCGCATGGGCTCCCTGCTCTGTGGGGGGCCTGCTTCTCCCTCTCCCACTCCCCCTGCTTGTGTTCCCCCTCTCGCTGTGTCTCTCTCTGTCAAATAAATAAATAAAATCTTTAGAAAACAACAACAACAACAAAAACAAAGAACGTGTAGCTAATACAAGACTGTTAAAAAAAAGAGAAAGGGGGGCGCCTGGGTGGCTCAGTTGTTAAGCGTCTGCCTTTGGCTCAGGTCATGATCCCAGGGTCCTGGGATCGAGCCCCGCGTCGGGCTCCCCGCTCTGTGGGAAACCTGCTTCTCCCTCTCCCACTCCCCCTGCTTGTGTTCCCTCTCTCGCTGTGTCTCTGTCAAATAAATAAAATCTTAAAAAAAAGAAAATACTAATTTCAGTTAGAGACTCCTTGAATCCGATTCAAGTTAACCCCTGTGTTTTTTTTTTTTTTTT